CCGGCTAATTTTTTCTATATATTTTTTTTTAGTTGTCCAGATAATTTATATTTTTAGTAGAGACGGGGTCTCGCTCTTGCTCAGGCTGGTCTCGAACTTCAGACCTTGAGCGATCCACCCGCCTCAGCCTCCCGGAGTGCTAGGATTACAGGTGTGAGCCACCACGCCCGGCCTAGAGGCACTCTTATACCCTGAGATTTCACTTTAGAAATAGGTTAGCTCAGGCCGGGCATGGTAGCTCACGCCTGTAATCCTAACACTCTGGGAGGCCGAGGCAGGATTGTTTGAGCTCAGGAGTTGGAGACCAGCCTGAGCGAGAGTGAGACCCCATCTCTACTAAAAATAGAAAAAATTAGCTGGACACGGTGGCACATGCCTGTAGTCCCAGCTACTTGGGAAGCTGAGACAGGATGATCACTTGAGCCCAGGAATTTGAGGTTGCTGTGAGCTAGGCTGACACCACGGCACTCTAGCCCAGGCAACAGAGCAAGACTCTGTCTCAAAAAAACGAAAAGAAAAAATAGTTTAGCTCCCTTAAAAGATTTGAAAACCACTGGTCTTTAGTCTTCTACCTGTTTAATCTGTCAAGATATTGTCAACTTAAATATCAGAAAGTTACTTAAGTGTCCTTGTTAACTTGAAATGGTGGTGATTGAAATGCTAAAAATTCAGAAACCCAAATGGGCCAGCTCCCCACCAAGCTTTATCAGTATTAGAAAACTTTCAAAGTTCAAAAACATTCCATCTCTATGAGAAACAGCCATCTGAATTTGATGTCACAAAAGGAGCAAGAAAGTGGTTTCTAAAGGGCCGCTTTCATACTTACAAACTGGCAAAGTAAATGCTTGGATGTTACGAGGTAGTTGCTCTAAATTGTAAGGCTTTCTCAAAGGAGCTCCTTACCTCACACAGACAGTAGGTGGAAGACTTGAAATCCATTCAATTTATTAAAACCCCCTTCCCAGACAGATAAAATAAATGAGGCATCTCTCCTCCAAATGGCTGAAGTACCGCCACAGCAGGGAGGCCATTTTATGGGGCATGGCGCCACCTTGTGGCCACTGCCAAACCCCCTATTGTTAATAGAGCGCCATTCCAGCAGGGGTTTTTGTGTGCTGTTGCCCAGGCTGGAGTGCAATGGCTCAACCGTAGTTCATTACAGCCTCAAACTCCTGGGCTCAAGTGATCCTTCTGCCTCAGCCTCCTGAGTAGTGAGGACTACAGGTGTGCATCACCACTCCTGGCTGATTTTTATTTTTTTTGTAGAGAAGGTATCTAGCTATTTTGCCCAGGCTGGTCTCAAACTCCTGGCCTCAAGCATCCTCCTGCCTTGGCCTCCCATAGTGCTGGGATTACAGACGTGAGCCACAGCATTCAGCTGCCAGCATTTTAATTAAAAAGGAGAATACTATATTCTATCTGGAGCCTGAGGATATTAACATTTTCAAATGTTCTCATAGAACATAACACTTTGGTTACTTTTATAATTTTATTGACTTTTTTCTCTTCATAACTTCAAAGTAAAAACAGCACACGAAAACCAGTGTATTATCCCAGTCTCAACACAGTTGATTGCCTCAGAAAGGCCAGAACATATTCCTACTCCTCCAAATAATCACTGTAAAGACTTAAACTACATAGAAAGTTCAAGTTTCTGCCCACATCAAGACATAGACAGTAGTCAAACCCTTGCTGCCACCTCCAGCTCTGGCTGGGGCTCTGGCTCTCTGCCTGTCTTATCTCTCAGCAGCTCTTCCAGTGCTCAGACTGGGTCTTCCAGATGGGTCTCTTTCAGGGTGGGTCAAGGCTGAGCTGGAGAGAGAAGCAGAGTCTGGGTCCGCAATCACTTCCCACTGGCCACCAGTTGGCCAGCCAGGAAATCATTTCCAAACAGTCTTTTGTCTCCACTGTTTGTCTCCCTCTCCCTTCTCTAAAACTTACTGCTATCAATTTCACGTAACAGTGGATTCAGTGTCCATTAAACTGCCGGAGAAGTGGTTTGAGTTTGAGCCTGACATACTTTCCTGAGCTAAAAAAGAAAACAAAGTACCTCTATGGCCTTCCTGCCATTAAGATCAAGTAAAAAAGGGAAAAGCACTACTGAGAAGGGCAGCATTAGAAAAGCAATAGATTCTCCTCCCCAGCTCCATGGAGGCTGCTCTAGCTCTAGCTATTGAGGGTACAAGGCAGTACAACAAGGAGGTATGCTGGGGGGAAATGTTTATTTTCCCCTTTTGAACTTTCCTGCTGTCCCCGTCTTTGCCTTCTTCTTAGCAGATCCCTTGGGTTCTGGCTCCTTGCGCTTAGCCGAAGACAGCGAGCCAGTCACCTTGAAGAAATCATCCAGGCGCCCCTGGGTGCTGCCTTGGCGGCTCTTGCTCAGCCGCTTGACCCCACTGCGGATTCGCTCCTCAGAGAACTGCTTTTCACCACACATGAACTTGACCAGCTCTTCTTCATTGGGCTCGCTCCACTTCAGCTCCACAGACTCTGGGTCCAGCACTTCCGGTTCCAGGAAGAGCCGCTGGGCTTCCTTGTGGAGCCAATTTTCTGGCACAGGGTACTTATTGGGGTCGAGCCGCCTCACGATCTCCTCGATGCTCTTGTGCTTCTGGATGAGGTCCACAGCCCGCTTGGGCCCGATGCCCCGGATACTCTCACAGTAGTCACTACCCAGCAGGATGCACAGATCCACAAACTGCTCCTGGTTCAGGCCCAGCTGCTGCAGAATCCGGCTCAGGTGGAATTCCTGGATGGGCAGCTTCTTGGCCTCACTGGCAGTCAGGTGTCGCATTAGCACAGGGCTGCCGAAGGTGAGGCAGTCCATGTCCTCAGTGGCCGCAGCGTAGACTTTGCCGGCCTTCACCAGGGCAGCACAGCTGGCCTCTGCCTCACTGGGCGCGTCGAGGTACGGGATGCCCATGAGGCTCAGCAGATGTTTGCACTCATCGTTGTGCTGCTTAGTGACCTTCACCAGACGCTTGGTGAATTTTTCCACCTCTTCCTCGGCCCCAGCAGCCTGAGCCTGCTGCAGCTGTTTCTCTGCCTCAGCCCGCCGCTCACTGCGTTTGGCCAGTTCGCCTGACTTGAGCTGTGGTGGTTTGCCGTCGAAGACATACACGGGCTTGATGCCGTTCTCCATCATGCGTATGGTGCGATAGAACATGCCCATCAGGTGGCTGGTGGTCTCACCCTCCTCGTTCTGCAGCACATCCCCGCCCTGGCGAACAGCAATCAGGAACTGATAAATGCTCATGGAGGCATCAATGGCCACCTTGCGGCCAAAGTAGCTCTTGATGTCATTCTCCCGGATGGCACTGGGGGCCACATCAGCAATTAGTTTGGCCAGGCCTTGAATCCCCATGGCAATACAGAGGCGGGATGGCTAAAAGAGAAAGGTGAGTAAGGAAAGGACAAACTTTAGGGATGCAAAAGGAAAAAGGGTTATAATTGGTGCTATCTTACCAACTTCACATGTTCAGCTAATCAAATTGAGCATAGCAAAAAGACGCAAAGTCAGCACTGCAGGAGATGAAAGGATGAACAAGAAAAGGTTCCCATTCTCAAAAACTTACAGTCTAGCAGGAGAATTTGCTCATTTAATACTAAGGCTTACTGAGTACCAGGAACTGACCTGGGTGCTTAGGGGAATAAACACTGTTGATATTCTAAGGCAGTAGCATTATCTATTATACAAAAAGGACTACTACATAAATATCTGCATCAAGGACCATGGAAGGCCAGAGGAATGCTTGGCCCAGCTTGAGGAGCCCAGGGATCATAATGATAGAACTGAGCCTTGAAAGACAGGCAAATATGAATGCCAGTTAAACAAATATAAGTGATTTGTTCTGAGTCTCTGGAGAACTCTGACTGATAAAGTAGCCTTGAAGAATAATATAGCAAACACAGGCAAATGGGGAGTAATGTGGCTTTCTCACATGCTGCTCTAGCATCACCTCAACACATAAGAGTTTCTACTTTTACCATGATGTTGCCAGTTTTAAGTCTTTCCCCTTGTATGTCTCCACCACATTTCACTAAGTCTGAAAAGTGAACGCCATGGCTCCTACCCTATCCCGGGTCCTGATTTAGGAGCCTGGCATGCTGTAATCACTCAGCCCAGTGTTGCACTTTTGTGGTTCTGGCCTCTCATCAACTCCTACCCAGGGCAGTGTTTCCCAAACCACCTCATAATCTTTGCCACTTCCATGTAAAATCTGTACTTTCGTTCACTTAATATTTTCTTTAAATGGACACCATTTTTTTAAAAAACTAAGCTGAAAAGAGAACTCATCTTAAGGAATGGTATCTGTTATATCAGTTACATTTTAATATGTGTTAAATGTGTACTATTAAAAAGGATATTTTTGGGGTGCAACTTAAAGTCATTTTGTACCCATGACCATAGGTGTCCGACAATCTAAGAAATATTCTATCAGGCCTTCTAATTGTTCCCACTCTGCCTTCGCACGGTTCTTTCTAAACCATAAAGGACTCTGAGCCCTCCTCCTGCCATGCACTCACCCCCTCCTTCAAGATCCATCTCCTTTTAGTTCTCCTGTGAATGGCAATTGCAAAAGCCCTGGCCTTGAGTCTACGGGCCAACATTTACCATCTGTGTGCCATTCCTAAGTCACTTAAATTTGATTTTCTCATCTGTAAAATGACAACCACGCCTGTCTTGTAGGATGACTGCCAGGGTTAACTGAGACAATAGCTGTAAGTTTCTATTGTCCCGACATAACACCAGGAACTTTGTCAATGTTCCCCATCCAAAACCCATTCAATCCGTTCCTTCCTGCTTCAAACCGGCATCTTTGCTAGAATGTGTACTGAAATGACCATTCATAGTGAGCCGTTTGTCTTCTCTCGGCAACCAACAGAAGAAGGCAGGAAAGGGGCCTAAACAAGTAAAGTTTCAAAAATGTTTCTCGTCCACAGTCTTAGTAAAAATACATCCCGACCTCATGAGGCCTAAGTTGTTAATGTCTCTCTACAAGTGAACAAAGAGGCTCGGAAGGTACGCGACTGACCCAAGTCTCACAGCTGGAAAGTGGCAGGACCGCCAGACTGCGAATCCCGCGCACGCCAGATTCCGGCTCCCCACGGCACCCAGTGCAGAGCGGACCGCGCTGCTTCACGAGGCGCTTCCCATGGGGCCTCACCTGGCCTTTGGGGCACAACGCTTTGGCAGCTGGAGCTTGGTCCGGTGTTGCCCAGGACACTCCCAAAGTCCGCTCCCTTCTCCGCTAGGCCGTGGGTCGGCTCTTGCTCCGGCGCCTTCCAAAGCCCGCGCTCCCGTCACGTGACCCACCCGCCGCGCACAGCTTCCCGGGGAGTGTAGTGCAGGCCCCGCCCCCTCAGACAGCTGCTTTCATGGCAAACAGTCCCGCGAGAGAGATCGGCCTCTCTCAGATGCCCTGCCATACCCTTCTCCATCGCTTGCCCCTACTCCATCCACAACAGGGCCCCGTAGCCCCAGCTCCCGCTACACCCGAAATCCTAGGACTACAAGTCCCACAATGCCTCTCGCGCGGGGGCACTTCCTCTTCCGGCTGCGCTAGGCTTTTGCTCCTGCCGACGTGTTCTTCCGGTGACGGAACAGCGGCTTACCTTGTGCGGGGCAAAATGGTGAGAACGTTGAGGGGAGTTTTGGACAGGGTTGTGAGGACCACTTGGGGCCTGACCCACACTGCGGCTCTCTTGCGGAGGCCTCAAGAAGTAGCGATCCAGAGGGCTGGACGCTCCTGGAACCTCCGGCTTGGGCTGAGGGATGGAGAAAAGAAACCCCTTGCCATGAACTCCTTAGACTGAGGTCTTGATCCGACCTGGCTCAGAGCTCGCGATTTATAAAGAGAGGGGCGTGGGGTGTATTTTGAATACCTTCAAGCTTGTATCTCTGTTACCTGTGGTCTGCTCTATTTGGAAAGTTCTTCCCCCTGCCGAACTTGTACCCATCCTGTAAATGCCCTGGGTAAATGTCATTTCTTGGTGAAGCAGTTCCAGCTCTCTCAGGCACTTGGCCAATCCCTCCTGGGAGCACCCACAACCTCTGTACAGACCTCTGGCCACGTTTCATGGACTTCTTTGTTTTCTGCCACGCCTCCTAGTGACCACCGTCTGACGTGCATCTAGCTCTGGGATGAAGTCTATTCATCTTTGTATTCCCAGTGCCACACACAGGGCCTGTAATTGGAGGCTCAATAAATGGCAGTGATTGTCTTTATCATTTTAGGGGGAGGGGAACATAATTGTTTACTGAATTGAATTCCAGTGTCTCTTAGAACAATGGGGTCAGTTTACTTGTCTAGAGTTGTTATGTTCTGGATTTTAGAAGCATTGGCTGATGGGTGACAATGAAGTTAACATTCGTACAGAGCTTTACGTTTACAGCTCTCTTTCACAGGCATTATCTCATAATCTTCCCCACAACCTTAGGAAGGAAACAAACACCTATTGAGGAGTTACTCTATGCCAAGCACTAAACTAGATGCTTTGACGTTCTTCATCTTTCCTATGTCATAGATCAACCCTGTGAAATGGATTTCATCCTAACTGCTTTCCTGAGATTCAGATTATTCAGTAGACCCAGAATTTTAACTGGTGTCTTTTGCTGGTAGATCCTGATATTCCATAATAGTGTGGTGAGAAGAATACTCAATTAGAAGTTGAGATCTGGGTACCAGTCCAGGCTCTGTGACTTACAGCAAGGATTCTTAGCATAGTGTCTATAGATATGAGTCCACAAAGCTTCAAAAATTGTAGGCAGACTTTTTCTCGTATGTGATTTTTTCCCAGGCAGAGAGTTCATACCTTTCATTACATTTTGTAATGAAATGTGGTGTGAAATGGTGTCATTGGCCTCAGAAAATGCTAAGGAGCATTGATGTTTAGCTGTCACCCCCTGTGTCTCATCCTCTGACTCTCAGCTGCCCTTCTTGTCTAATATTGAAAAGATAAGGCACCACCTCAGTTTTAAGATAGACCTGTAATTGTCATTCCCGTACTGAATCAGTTGATGTTGGTTCTGAAGGATTTCCACATCCCTAGGCTGAAATAGGCCTTTAGCAGTCACAGGAGTACAAGGCTTCTTGATAACCCCACAGTCTCCCCAGCCTGAACTCATATGATTCTTTAATGGCTCTAATCTCATGCCCTCCCCTAGGAGCTCGAGGCCATGAGCAGATACACCAGCCCAGTGAATCCAGCTGTCTTCCCTCATCTGACTGTGGTGCTTTTGGCCATTGGCATGTTCTTCACCGCCTGGTTCTTCGTGTATCCTTTCACTGAGCAGCCAGTGGGCCAGTATTAGTGATATGGAAGCTGAGGGAGAAACTGTGCTAGGTACATGCACCCTGCCAGTTTTGTGCATTGGATTGGGATGGGAGAAGGTAAGGGGGGGAAGGCTGGGGATGCCCCAGGTCAAGTTGTGGTCTTATTTCCCACGTTCAGATGAGTTCAGTTTGCTCTTCAGATTTCCGGGACAGTGGAGGGCCTGGCTGGTGTGGAGTAGGGAGATGGGGAGCTGAAGTTGGAAAAGTGGTATAAGGACAGATGAGCTCAGGTGTCAGGAGGTCTGAGGGCTAGTCCCAGCTCCACCACTCGTGAGCTGTATGACCTGGGGCAAGTGACCTAACTCCTCTGGGTCTCATTTTCTTCCTGGGTGGTGGCAGGTTAGTATGGAGCAACATAGTCCAGGTGATCTCCTGGGCCCCTGTGCCTGGATGCACTGAGCCATAAGGCATTTAGCCCATACCTGTTTCCCCAGAGCGCCACTGGCCAGACTCCTGCAGTCCACAGTCCATCCCTTTGCTTTGCCTTAACAGCACCACTCAGTTATGAGGTCACCTCCACCAAGTACACTCGAGATATCTACAAAGAGCTTCTCATCTCCTTGGTGGCCTCCCTCTTCATGGGCTTTGGAGTGCTCTTCTTGCTGCTCTGGGTCGGCATTTATGTGTGAGCTCCCGAGGGTAAGAGCTGTCCTCATGACCACGTCAGCGGGGTCCTCACGGTCTTAACCTCGGTGATGCCTCAGTTAATAGCGACTGACTCAGGGGAGTGGATGGGGACACTAGCTATATGTGCCTCTTTGCCTGCCCCTCATGGGGATTTGGGCCAAGTGTGGCCTCCTTTGTCAGTTCTGAGTTCACACGGCCCAAGGCCTCGATCTGGCTTTGGGATGGGGGACATAGGGATGTGGGTGCAGGTTTCCCATGGTTGTACGTTTGCGTTCTTACAAGTCATGTACCAACGACTTGGAGAGGCTGCTGGGCTGGCTGGAAGGGGGTCAAGATCTGGGACTTAAAACTTGCTGCAGATAGTCCACCAAACAGGTCACTGAGAATCTGCTCTGGTGGCTCCTCCTCAAAGGAGTGTACCGGTCAGCGCTTGCCGGAGCACAGGGGTTCAGGGAGAGAGGAAGGTGGGAAGGAAGTCAATGGTCTCATTTTGATACCCCTCTCCTCTTTCAGGTACCAACCAGGCGGCTTCACTGAATCTCTGCTTTTGTAAATTAATTTTTTTTACTATTGCTGGAAGTGTCCCACCTGCTGCTCACAATAAAGGCAGATGTGTGACAGTCCTGTCTGGTGCCCGTTGTGTGGGGGTAGGAGTTCTGGGACCTATGTGGTTTCCCCTGTCCCACCCTTTCCCAGTTCTCTTCTGCCTGTCACACGGTTCCTGCTGCTGGGAAACCTGCCTTCTACCTGTGGGGCATGAGGGCTGTGTGACAGAGGTATCTTATCATTGGAATTTAAAGCTCACCTGTGGATAGGAAGGGTCCAGGCCTACCCTCTTCTGTTGTTTCTAGAACAAACCTCTAGGAACCACACCAATCCATTCTGCCCTGGCCTATCCCCTCTAAACATAGCTGCCCTTCTCTGGGCTGGGGCCCCCTCCCCAGGCTCAGCTTGTCCCCTAAGAAGGTTTTTTCGCTGGGTGGTTACTCTTCACTCAGGTGGGCAGCGGCAGGTGCGTGGCAGTGGGAGGTGTGGCCGGGGAGGGGCTGCTGAGTCCGTTCCCAGCCCTAGGATGAAGCTAAGAAGGGTAAGGGCTACGAAGGGTCAATCTGGCTTGGGGCCCTGGAGATTCCAGACTTCTCAGGAAGACATTTGAGTTCCAGTTGGTCCCAGCTCCACAGGGGACTCCCTCTCCCACCAGATCAATCCCAAGAAGAGACAGGGAGGCAAGCTCAGATACAAAGCAGTATTTATACATTTATTTATATATGTATATTTACTTCGGAAGAAAAGAACAGTTCAGGGGACAGGAAGCAAGCAGGCTCGAGGCTGCCTCCCTGTCTGCCCACTGCAGAGTCAGAGTTGGTACATGATAAATATGAGTCAGAGCTCAGGGAGGGGAACTGGGAGTTAACTGGGGGGGGGGGTGCTCTAGGCACACGCAGGCTTCTAAGGGAGTATGGTGTGGGCAGGGGGTTTGCACTGGGAGGCCCTATGTACAGCTTGAAGCTAAGGGGAGATCAGCCCAGTGGCTACAAGAACAGACGCCGAAAGGGAGAGAGGAAGGAAGAGATGGCCTGCTGGACCCCAGGTCGGGGTTGGAGCTGAGACACCCACACCCTGGTGCCCGCCTGGCAGCTGGCAGCCTCCAGCAGGTGGCCCCCTCACCTTCCCTGAGGCCCGTTTACCACGGGCTCATGGCAACTTTGGTCCAAGGTTGACCCCTTCAAGCAGCTTGGAGCCCCACCGTGGCCCCAGCCCCTGCACCGAGGACCCCCTCCCCAGGCATGGAAACAGATCCAGCTGCTAACGGGACTGGGGTTGTGCTGTGTCCAGACAGGCTCCAGAGGGGCAGAGGAGGGTCACTTTCCAGTTAGGGACCGAAGGGCCACAGTCCAAGAACACACACCCCTAGTGAGGAAGCTGCAGAATCCTATTACAAGGGGTGAGGCTCAGCAGTTTTAAGGCATCAGAGAGAGATTCCCCAGTGGGAGGAGGGAGCACAGTGTAGTCCTAAGTAAGGCTCGGCTGCCTGCATGACAATTCCTATGTCAGAGGGAGGGAGTGGAGCCCAGTTGGGCAGGGGGCTGCAGGTGGGGTATCCCTATAGCCCCTGGTGTTTCCCTATCCTGAGGATAAGTGCTTTGAGATCCACAGCAGAAGGGGGCCCGTAGTTCATAGGCTTCAAGAATTTGGCTCCCCCACAGAAAGGCCTCCCATTCGAAGCTGAGAATGAGAGGTAGGATGGGGCGAGGCCGGTTCCCAAAGAGCTGGCAAAGTGCCACAGGGCACGGACGGCAATTCCCTTTCCCGTTTCTGGACCCGTGGCAGACATGGCTAAATGATGACCACACTCCTTCCATGTACCTGGGTGTGGCCTCACAATGCTCCAGGTGCCACTGTGAAACGTTGAGGTTGGCGCTTGACATAAAACTTTGCTAACCCACGCCCACCACTCCTGCTCCTGGGAGGGATACACAGATGGAGCCTACTGCCAGGCATGGGGCCCTCCAGCTTGACTGTCCAAGCCCAGCAAGGGAGCCTTTGATCCGGAGAGACGAGGCCACCAGGCCACAAGAGTGGAGGGAGAGGCCAGAGTCTTGGTGGTCAGGAGTGGGAGGGGCATCGCGGAGGCTCCCAGGGAGCAAGTGTTATACCATGGCTCTGGCCCGCTCTGGGCCTTCCAGCTCCATCCTTCCACTCCTTCCCGCCCTGGTCTAAGTGCATTTAGTAATTACTTCATTAATAACAGCAAAAGCTATTGGCATCTGCCCACCAGCCAAGACCAGCCTGCTGCTTGCAGGGTTCCTGCTCCTCTGCTCAGAGAGAATGATGTCGCTGACACCATTGTGAGCTGTGGATGCTCCCAGGAACACAGGCGGTGGGGTGGCAACACTGTCTGGGGCTCTTAGGGAACTTCCTCTTCTGGGATGCTCCAAGTTCAAGGGTCCAAGGCTTACCTGGCCACTGGCCCCTGGCCCCACTGGTTCAGGCCTGTGAAGGGCTGAGGGTGGCTTCACCAGGCACTAAGTGGACTTAAGGCACAAAGTCAGTCTCTCCAACCCATCCAGGGCTGGCCTTGGCTACCCTGGGAGTTTGGGGGAGCCAAGCACCTGGGCCACACTTAAAGCTTAGAAATCCAAGTCCAGCGTAACAGTCAAACCCCAAAAGTTCCTCTACCAAGCTGTCCCCCAGGGAGCAGCTTTGAAGGGGAGAGCTATCTGCCCTCCATTGACTCATGGAGGTCCAGCCAAGTCTCTTAGGGCTGGATCCAAGACTCCAGCTGACCTCAAAGGCAGGCAGGTCCTCTCTGAGAGGGGTGGTTCCCAGTCTCAAAATGGGAGGCAGGGGAGAGTGAGCTCTGGACAAATCAGGGTCACAGGCTTCCCCTGGCCTCCAGGACACCCGAAGCCAACCTTCCAACCACCGTATCTGGACAGATGTGAATTCCTGGCCCAGAGGAGGTGGCAGGCAGGAAGGCCCAGGAAGTCCGTCTCTCTGGCTCCTTCTGTGCAGGGTGAGGGGCAACCCGCTGGAACAGCAACTCCAGTGTGAGGACTTCCAGTTTCACCAGTCGAGGGAAGGGCCAGTGTACGCAGAGCTGGCCGGCAGCAGGCTCCAGTGTAACACCATCGCATCCAGTGTGAGAGGGGTGCCTGAGGACCCCTGGTCCCTGGTGTGGTGCTGCCTCAGGAGGGCAGCTCAGTCGCACAGGCGGTAGAAGTGGAAGTAGTAGTCTGAGGCTGGCTGGGCAAGGGCCTCCGAGCTGCAGTTGGCTTGACCCTGGGGGGAAGGGCAGTGGGAACAGGTGAGGTGGCTCTCGGGGTGCAGGGCAGGTGGCACTTTCCTGCTGATGTTGCTTGACGCTGTGCCCCAAAGTCCTACTACGTGCCTGCCCTGCAAACGCCCCACTCATCCCCAAGCCCCACACCACAGATAGAGGTGCCTGGACCTCCAGGGAAAGGCGGGGTGCCCGTGCTCACCAGCAGTGCCACCCGGAAGTGGTAGGTGAAGTCACCAAAGGACAGGATCGTTACTGGCCACTGGTGAGAGGTGCCCTGGAGAGAGAAGGGAAAGGGGTCAGGACGGCCCCCTGCTCCATCCCACCCAGCATCCCCCTTAACACTGCAGCCCCGGGGATGCGGCAAGTTTTAGGAAGGAAAAAGGCAGGGCTTCGAAGAGATGAAGGGAGTACGTTCTGCCTTGGGGAGCAGTGGCAGCTATTCCACGCAGACCGACAAGTCCCAGCTGACTTTACCTGGCCCCGCCTCCCTTTCCTGTCCCCTGTGCCCTGTTCCCTCACCCACTGTGCTCTAGGCACATTGAAGTATGTCATTAACCCCGTCCTCACTACAATCCAATGAAGTGGGGCTGCTCCTAGCCCCGTCTCGCAGATGAGGAAATCGAGTCACTTGCCAAAAACTCACAGTGTGGCAGAGCTGGGATTCAAACCCAGGTTTGTCTGGCTCTCCCTCCCAGGGCAGCAGGAGACTGCAGGCAGCGTGCCCATCTCCTACCTGAGCTTGGCTTTGCCTCTGTTCTGTGGGCTCAGGCCTGAGCACGTGTCTACTGAGCTGTCTACTGAGCGTCTGCCTGGGCTCTCCCTCCTCTCTGCAGGGCCACAGGGCCCGGCCTCTTGGAGCACTCACCCGCTCCCCTCCTGCACGCAAGGTACTTTCTGCACGTCTTTTCTCCCTCACTAGAATGTGTTTTAGGAACTTAAAACCTATTTCTACTCCACCTCTGTCCCCCTGCAGCTGGGCCCAGCACAGGCCTGGGACAGAAGGGATCCCAGTAATTATTTGTTGCGTAGACACACGAAGGAATGAGAAGAGATATCACTACTTCCCTTAACTCGGAGTCCTGAGAGCCTTCTCCCATGGCCTCTCAGGCCCAGGGAGAAACTAGCGGTCCGTCAGCACCGGAGGGTTGTTAACTTCTGGTTATGTGGCCAGGGAGGAGCTGGAGAGTGACAGGGTCTAGCCATCCAGTTCTCCCAGACCAACACGCAGCCCCCACATAGAGCCCGAGGTGTCTTCTAATACTGCAGATTGAACCGTGCCACGTCCCCAGCCTGAGGATGAGGTCCAGGCTCCCTCCTGCCTCTGTATGCTCCTTCGACGCTGCACCTCCCTGCACCTCACAGCCCTCCCTGCCGCGGGCTCCCAGGACGCCTGCCTGTCTCCACCATTGCACTCGTCCCGGTCAGTCCTGCGGGGCTGTTTTCTTCCCCGGGGCCCCATCACAGCAGGGACGGGAGACGCTTGGCAGGGAGTGCAATGGACACATGCACTCGTGCCCCCTCCCTGGGGCACAGAGGCCCAGGCCCCAGAGAGTCCCTTGTGGAGATGCCTTCACTCTGACTCCTCGCTCCCTCTCCTCACCTGCTCGGGGGCCCAGCTGTACCAGCGGAGAGGAAGCTCCAGCCCACAGCCCAGTCCCACCTACCTGGGTGTCCTGGTGGGCGTGGAGACTCTGCGGAAAGGCCCCCTCCTCACATGGCTCCCCCTTTGACATCAGACTGCACAGCACCACGGACACAGGGGAGGAGGAGCTGGGGACAGGCCCAATTAGTAGGGAAATGGGGTTCTGGAGCCCTCCACCCCAACCCCACCAATGAAACAAGCTACTGAGTCCTCACGCAGCCGGAAAACAATGCATAATAACCAAGGTCCTCATAGAGCTTCCGTCCCCAAGCTCTGTGCCACAGCCCGGTACTGGTCCGTGGCCTGTTAGGACCCTGGGTGTGCATCACCTGAGCTCAGCCTCTTCCCCCCGCCTCCGGAAAAACTGTCTTCCGTGAAACTTAGGAAGGGGGTGCACACAGCAGGAGGTGAGCAGCAGGGGCATGAGCGAAGCTTCATCCGTATTTACAGCCGCTCCCCATCACTCGCATCACAGCCTGAGCTCCGCCTCCCCACTGGCCCCTCCCCCAGTCCACGGAAAAATTGTCTTCCATGAAACCGGTCCCTGGTGCCAAAAAGGTTGGGGACCACTACCATAGGGTACAAACCTTCCCCATCCACCGTCCCAGATGGTCCTCCCAGCTGCTGTGAGGCAGGGTCATTTAGCCAGTGAGCCGTGAAGCAGGCAATAAAGTGAGCAGCCCTCCTGAGCCCCTTCCCCAGGCTGCCTGGGTCCACCATGCGGAAAACGTACTGGGCCCCTGGGCTGACCTCAGGTCTGGCCATTCTGAGGCTCTGCAGGGGCTTCTCCCTGGCTCCCCTCCCATCCCTCAAAACCCCCACGCCGGCACTCACTTCATCTGCAGGGTCAGGCTGAGGTGCAGTGGGGTGCTGCTGCTCACAGGGATGTGGTAGGTGAAGTTTCCAGGCCTGAAGGGGCAAAGCTGGTGCTTTAGCTTAAGACCACTCTGCCAAAGCCTCCCCCGTCGGCTCCCCAGCCCCGCCCTGTCTGTACTAGAGCCCCTCGGAGTCCCTGGGGGGAGGTTCCTCCCTGAGGGAGCAAGATCTGGGCATAGACACTGCCTGGGCTCATGTCATCTGAGGGGACCTCCCTGGGGTGAAGGGGAAAAGAGTCCAGCCCACCTGCAGGTGTCCCCAGGAGCACAGTACTGGGAGGTGATGGGCATTGAATTCTCCAGCACCTGGATGGAGGTCAGGGAGGGTACTGGGTCTGCAAGGAGAGAGGCTGTTGGGGCAGGGAGGAAGGTGACAAGGCAGGACACAAATGAGCAGCAGTCAAGTCTTTCCTTGCCAGACTCGGATCAGTCACTCACATCTTAGTATGAATAAGTTTCAGGTTATTATTTCCAGACCCCCACAGTGGCTGGGCTCACACCACACCCCTTTCCCAGCAGCCCTCGTCGGCCTGGCCAGTCTGCAGGAGCCTGAGGTCTGCTCCTCCACAGAACCGGAACACCCAGAAGCAGGGACGGCCCTCAGTGTACAGGAACACAGGCCTCTGTTCCTGAGCACACCCCTCCTCAGCTCTGGGTTCAGTGATGTGACACTGGTAGCTTGAAACCAGCCGCGGTGGGAGTACTCGCACACAGATCGGGGCTTCCCCCACCCCAGAGAACCAAGTGTCACACACCTACCAGCACGCCGCTGCTTGCGGCCCTCGATCAACGCACCCGCCGCAGACTGGCTAGCTAGGTAGGAGGCAGGGGACACACGCTTTCTTGCTCATCGTCATTCACTGTCCTGCACGCTTGCTGCTGCCTAACCATTCCACCCAGGGACAGGGGAGCTGGGGCCACTGAACGTTTGCTGGACCTGGTATGTTTTCAGCTCTATGAGACACAACCCAGGGACCCAAGGTGCCCCAGAATGCCCTGTGCAGCCGGAGACAGGTATCAGATACAGACAAGATGAAAGGTGCCCTTCCCTTCCGGGAAGACTCCCAATGTCCTCAAAGACTCAGTTCCAACGTTACTTCCTGCCTGATCACCTCCGCACCTTAGCCCAGATCAAGTGCCCTGCCCAGGCCCAAAGCTGCCTGCCTGTCCCTTCAGAGTCTCATCACACTGCTGTGCTTTCATCTCTGCGAGCTCTTTGGGGGCAGGGGCGGGTCTGTCTTCATCATCCCCGGTGCCCTGGACAGAGCCAGCCACAGAGCAGCGGCCCAGAAAACGGCCGCCTGGAGAGCATCTGCCCCTTGGGGTTTCCCCATCACTTTGAACTTCAATCTCTGCAAGCCACAGTTTCCAAGCTGTTTTTCTCCTTTAAGCCACCAAAGCCTATGAAATGAAAGCTGACGAGGAGGCTCAAATCGTAGAGCATGGCTGCCTAGTTGAAACCAGGCAGGCTCCCTGCCTCCCAGGGCAGCCCCTGGGGCACCTCGGAGGAACTCCGTTTGAAAACTTCTGCAACAGAAGGTTCTCTAGCTTTGTTAAAACCAAAGGTCTGAGGTTTGGGGAAAAGTCCGGGGGAGCCTGTCCAGCACCTCCTTGCCCTGGCATGGTGAAGGAGCCAGGCTCTGGAGCCAGGCAGACCTGGGACCAAATTCCAGCTCTGCTGCTGACGGGTTGGGCAACCCTGGGCAAGTCACTTCGCCTAAGTCTCCATTTCCTCATCTGAATAAGGGGACAATTCCTTTCCCGCAGGAGTGTTGTGAGGATTGAATGAGACCATCTATGTAAGGCACCTGGCCTGATTCCTCATACTTAGAACTTGCTCAGCAAATGCCTGTTGACGGACAATTCTGCACCCAGGCAGTCATGTGACTGGGCTGAAATGGACCCTGGCCAGTGAGCCTTGTTGGGCTGGGTTGGGAGGAACTGGGGTGAGTCAGATACCTGGCTGGCCCCGGGCCCGAGTGGGCTGAGCAGGGCCCAGGCTGGGCTGGGGGGCCCCTCGGCGAGCCCGGCCATGGAGACCGAGGCTGGGGCTGTTCTTGGCTTTGCCCTGCCACCCGGGGAAGGGGACTGCAGGGCTGGCCACAGGCTCCAGGCTCTTGGGATGCTTGGAGTGGCCAATGCCATTGGCTGAAAGGCCCCAGGACTTGGCTCTGATGTTGGTGACTGGCGGCAGGGCCATCTGGCTAGGGTCTGTGGATAAAAGCAGGGTCAGGCTAAGAAGGGAGTCGGCTGCCTCCTGTCCAGCTAGCTCTAGGACCTCCCTGGACTGAGTGAACCCATCTGTCTCTTGGCCTCTGCAGGAGGACTCCCCTATCTTTCTCCAGAGCCTCATTCTGGGCTCCAGGAGAACCCCCCACCAATGAGTCCTTGGGGCCTTTCTCTGAACTCAGGTAGCCACCCCCAACCCAGGTCCCAGCCCTGAGAGAGCCATACCTGAGCGGTTGGTGGTGGGGATGGGACTGGGGCTGAGACCATGGCCAGCGGCAGTGGTAGGGCTAGGGGTGGGTGAGGAGCAGCAGACGACAGGGCAGGGGTGGCTGGAGCATAGGTCCAAGGTGCGGACAGCGGGCCCTGGGGCTGAGCTGGTCCGGCTGGTGGTCACTGAGGAGGCCAGAGGCTGTATGAGCTGGAGGTGGGCAGCAGAGCCCCCGGCCCGGGACACAGCCACCTCCTATCCCACCCGACGCCTGCCCAGACACGCACCCAGCAGCAAAGAGGGCTGTATGCCCGGCAGCCCAGTGGTTACAGGCGACTGTCGGACATGAGTGGTCCCAAAGCTCTGGCTGGACCTGCTGGGGAAGGGTGGGCTGAGCTCAGAAGGGCTGGGAGAGCCTGAGGGGGAGGCCTGGGCGTCCTGGAGAAGCAGGGGGGCAAGAGGAGGCGGAGAGGGAGGGGGACAGAGGCAGGAGGAAGGGCTGCGGGAGCCACAGGAGGGAGGGGCGCTTGTCAGCACGTACCATGGGCACATGGCCTCACTCCCCCCAGCGTGCTGGGGCCGGAGCAGGGCCAGGAGACAGGAAGTAGACACGGCAAAAGAGCTAAGGGGCAGCAGAGAGGCAAAGGGTGAGAAAGACACAGAAGAGGAGAGAAGAGAAGACACAGTCAGAGGTGGCCCCAGGAGCTGGGGTGACAGTGGGCTGACAGAGCCCAACGCCCTGCCCTGGCCCTCCCTCCTCCCATCCCGTTCCAACTCTGGCCCCTCAGGTGGCCCCCGACTCTAGGCCCAGCTGCCCAGAGGAGTACTGAGCAGGCAAGACAGAAACCAGGGTGCCAGCAAGGTCCAGCAAGGGCTGCCCACCCTCCTGGAGACCCTCCCAGCCACCCCTATAAGCCCCAGCAAGCTGAGAGCTCGAAAGTGAACCCCTTCGGAGGAGACAGCCTCCATGGCTCCTCTGACTTTGGGCTGCCCACCAAAGCCCCACCTGGTCTGGTGGCTTGGCCAGCAGCCAGGCCTGCAGGGACGTACCCATCAGCGTCTACCAGGTCCTCCTCGGTGCGCAGGCTCAGCACGTACAGTGTGGACATGGACACCACACTGGGAGTCACAGAGAAGGGTCACTGTTAGAGCTGAAGCCACCATCCAGTGCCCCCTCTCCAGGCCAGGCCTGTGGTCCTTGGCCCTAGCACTGGGCTCCCAGGTGATGCCTGCAAATGGGTGTCCCCAGCCCTGGGGGCAGGAGACAGAACGAGGCCCATCTTCTCCGAGACCTCAGCCACTTGACCTCCCAAACTATGTCCTCCTCTTCCCCCAGGCCTGGGCCCATGGGCAGCTGACCCCACTGGGCAGCTCAACTCTTGGAGTCAGCCATCCCCAGAGCCTGGAGGACAAGTCACCTGAAAGCCATGACCACCACCAGGGCGATGATGGTTCCCTGCAAGAAGCGCTGGCTGATGCAGGCCTGGTCTGGGACCACGGACGATGCCTGAGGACCAAGAGGAAAAGGGGAAGATGAAGAAGAGGGCCATGGCCTTACCTGCCATGGCTCTCCGGGAAGTGGGATGCTAAGGGCTACACCATCTCCCAAGGGACAGAGGGAGAGGAAGGAGAAAGTGGGGGCTGGGAGGGCCACAGGGACAGGAGGAGAGAGGGGACACACCGGAGTCAGTGTGGCCGGAGAGGTGCAAGCTGGGAGGGGGCCATGAGGGATGGGAAGCCCGGGTCCAACCTGCCTCCCCTCCCTGCCCACCCTCACCTTGCTGGCCACCTTGGGGGGCCTCTTCTTGTGGGGGACGCTGCCCGCCCGGCTGAACTGGCTCCCTGCGTGGCTGCAGCAAGAGTGCCAGGGTCAGGGGTGTTCTGGGAAGGGGGGTCTCGCCCTCCCCACCCAACCCCCCCACCTGAAGGCGCCTGAGCTGCCGGTGGACTTGAGGCTGTCGAGTCGCCGCAGTTTGGCCAGCTTGTGGCTCCAGCGCTCCAGCTCGTCGATGCGTGTCTCCAGGTTGTCCGTCAGCTTGCACAGCTCCTTCACGGCACCCACGTTCTCCATGAAGATGCGCTCCTGCCACAGGCCATGGGCCAGCGCCCAGGGCATGGTCAATGCCAGGAGCCCCAGGCTGCCGGCCACCAGGCAGCAGGAGGGGAGCCCCTCCATCCACGGCTGCATGGAGGCCCTAAAGCCTCCCTACCTGGGCCGGCCCTCCCTCCCACAGCTCCCGTGCCTGCCTCCAAACGGCATCCGCATCTACACACCTTTGCCCCAGCTGTCCCACCTGCCTGAATGGCCCCTCCCACTCCCTGCCAGAATTCTCTGTGCTCAGAGGCTCCCCAGGCCTGAAGGCTCCAGCTCTCAGATCTGCCCCCTCTGATGACAATGGCATCTCAGACTTCAGCACTTCACTGTTCAGTTGAGGTGGAAACATATCACGTGCCTCCTTGGTGCCCAGCCTCATGCCAGCTAGGTTGCAAACATCACCCCCACGACAAGCCACATGGTTAAGCCTCGAGATAACCAGTGGAGTGTCTCAGCACTTCTATCATTGCCCTCGTTTCACCTGGGGTAGGGGGAGGCCATGAACCTCAGGGAGCTTCTTCTTGCCCTTGGTCACAGCCTCCAGTGGCCAAATCCCCAACCACGCACCCTGTTCCCTCTGGGGTGGGGACGGGGCCCTGGGCGCAGCATGAGAGGAGACAGGGCTGCTCTGGCCTCGATGGGAGGAGATGCGCCCCCCAGCTGGCCCACCCTTGCCCCAGCTCCCTCCAGTCCCCCACCCACAGACCTTGTTCACCACCAGGAAGTTCTCTATGGTTTTTCCGTTGGCAAAGACCATGTCTCCAGTGTCCTTCACAGCCTCGGGCAGGATCTCCTTCACCTCCTGAGCGATGACACCTGGTGAGGGACAAGCCCAGGATGTGTGTGTGGTGTGGGCACACTGCTTCACAGCTGTCTAATGTGAAGAGAGGCAGGATTGGGGAGGATGACATTCTCCCTAGAGTATTTGAATTCCAAGAAGCCCTGGAGCAAGCCTAGAGATTTGAATTCCAAGAAGCCCTGGAGCAAGCCTAGAGATTTGAATTCCAAGAAGCCCTGGAGCAAGCGGCTCCCATGGACAAGTGTTCACAGGGTCACAATTCCAGGGCTCAAGGTGTAGGGTTCCCAGGCTGGGTGGGACAGGTTCCTGGGAGTGAGGATCCCAGGGGTAGGGGGCAGGGTTCCGAGAGGTTAAAGGCAGGATTCACCTAGGGGGCCCCAAGTCTCAGACTTTCAGTGTCCAGGGGTGAGGTTCCAGGCACCTGGGAGGCCCGATTTTCCAGGGGCTAAGAGGCGGGTCTTCTAGAGGGCAGGATTCCCGGGGGCGGAGTTGCAGGAGTCGAGAAGAGGGGTTTCTGGGAGTATGATTTACAGGAGACAGGGGGCGGGGTCACGGAGGCCTGAGGTTACTGGGTTCCCGGACCCCAGTGCGTGCCAGGTCGGTCCCTACCCGTCTCCGGTGCGGCGGCCTCGATGCCCGCGCTGGCTGCGAACTCGGGCTTGTATCTGTAGTGCACCAGCCGCATGCGCGAGATCCTCTTCAACTGCTCCGTGGTGTCCACCTGCGGGGGGCCAGGGCCGAGACTGAGCCCCTTCCCTCCCGGGGCCGTGCACAGCAGGCCCCCGAGCCCAGGACGGCAGCTGGAAGCTGCAGTGTGCGGGACAGACCCAGCTGCCCGGGTCGTAAGATGGAGATCCAGGGTCGGCCCCGGCAGCCCCGCCCCTCCACCTGGCCCCGCCCCTCTGCAGGGCCCCACCCGCCCAGCCTTCAGCCACGCCCCTCTCGTAGCCCGGCTCTCCCCGCCCCCACCTCCTGCACGTGCTCCTTGGCCCGTAGGTCCGAGGGGTGCATGAGCGAGCCCATGACCTTCACGTTGCCGTGCACAACCAGCGCCTCGTCCGGCCGGTCTGTGTTGATGCCCACGCGGCCGTGGTGGAAGACTGTGTCAGGTACCTGCGCCCGCTGCCACAGCACGTCGCTGTCGCTCTCAAACTGGCCTGGGTTGGAGGCCTACCGCGAGTTCGGGCTGGATCAGTCCTGGGGCATAGGGGACCTGCAGGGTTCTGGGATTGGGGGAAACCCCACAGCCGCCCCTCCTGGTTCAGCCAGGCTTCTCACCCCACCATACCCAACTTAAACTGTCCCTCCCATTGTGACAATTTTAGTCACTTGTGAGATCCCAGAAGCTACCAGGTTTTGTCCACCTCCCTGCTTTACTGTGAGGCAGACGCTGCAGCCCAGAGAGAGTGGGAGCCTTGCCCAGGGCCACACAGCCAGTGCCCAGCAGGATCAGCACTCCCGCTGCTGACTCCCCAGCATCCTGGTATTTCTCCTGGGTGCTGCTTCTCCCAGCTCTGGGGAAGACTGTACCCCCTAGGGGGAGGTGGTCCTCACCCGCACAATGATGCGCTCTGAGATCTGGGCGGCCAGCGTGTAGTTCTGGTTCTGTGCATGGGCCTGGAGGGCCACCACCAGCATGAAGTACCTGGGACACACAGGAGTCTCAGAGGCACCCAGGGTCCTGCCCCCCAGCCACCCCTCGGGGCCAGGTGCACAGCGGACACACTCATGCGCCGCATCCTACAGAGGACCCGAGTCTCCACTAGGGGGCAGAAAGCCTCCAGGGCTCTCAGCTAGGAAGCCTTAGAGCTGTTTCTTAACCCAGAGGTTAGGCTTCTGCCTTCCCATCCTTAAGTCAATTAAGGGCTCCGAATCTCAGGTCCCGCATCTGTGAAATGGGCCAGTCTGTGGGACTCTGTGCCTGACATGCCACACGGAGTGGTGTCTTCCTGACCCTCCTTCTCGGAACGGAGGGCCCCGGGCAGGGGTCCAGCTGCTCACCTCTGGTCAGGGTTGGGCTTGCCCTTCTTGCGCATGTTGTTGGCGGTGGTCTCACTGAAGTGCAGCCGCCCCACAGTCACCTTCGTGACCTGCTCCGGGGGCAGATTGACCCTGCAGAGAAGGGACAGGGTGCTCAGGGGGAAGGGAGGGAGGCTGCCAAGAGCCAGGCCGCAGAGGGACACCCAGGCCAGCATGTCGGAGATGGACGCTGTGGACACCTGCCTGGCCCCCTCTGTTCTCGAGCCAGCTCCAGGGTGGGTCCTTCCAGGTACCACCGCCACGCCCCCTCACGAGGTCAGACACTCACGTGACGGGGTTGAAGGGCCGCTTGCTTCGGTCTGACTGCGACTGCTCGATGTTAATGGACTGGTTCAGGGCCTCCAGCTGGCGGGGAGTAGAGCCCAGCGGCACCTCAGGACGGACGCTCCCCACCGCCCTCCTTCACCTGCTCGGCCCAGGCCCGGCCCAGCTGGGCTCGGCTTCACTTCCCACGAGCCCAGGTGCCTTCTCCTACATAACTGCACACCCCTGCGCGCACCCCGCTCCCCCTCGCAGCACTCCACTCCTCCACTCTGATGGGGACGCGCTCACGTCACCCCCTCGTGCACCCACACCCCTAACAACCACACCCGCACACTCCCCCGCCTGCGTGTGCACACACACACGTACACACACGGCCCTCCCTCACACCCACACCCACACACACCCAAGCCACTCAGGCCCCACAGGGGTGGTTGATTCTGTGCCTTTGAGCCCCCTGGGGTTGTGGCCAGGTCTGTCGGCTTCATGTCGTGAGTGAGCCTGGCTGGCACGTTGGCATGGCTCAGCCAGTGCACGTGGAGGGGTGGAGGGGACATGGGTGTGGGAGAGGGTCTGGGGACTGAGTTGCAATGGGCCTCAGGGCAGGTGTCCCTGAGAAGGGCGCCGTTGTGGAGGGAGCAGGAGAGGAGGGGTGGGGCGTTGGGAGGGCGTCCACGGCAAAGGGAGCCGCAGGAGGGAAGGCAGGGGCTGAGAGTGGGCACCAGAGCTCTGTGGCAGAGCAAATAGCAGGGCTGGATCCCCAAGGCCCTGCGGGCTCAGCTTAGAAGCTGGGGCTCTGCTGGGAGGACGCGGGGGCCTTGGAAGGATGGGGAGTGCCATGGTCACCTGCGTCTCAGGTAGAGCATGAGTTGGGGGCCAGAGTGGAAGCTGCTGCGGACATTCAAGCGAGAAGGTGGTGACCCGGGCAGGGGAGAGGCAGAGGAGGAGAGGAAGGGACCAGGTGGAGGGACCTTCCAGGGAAACAGCAGGGCCAGGTGTGTGATGAGGTGGGGGTTATGGCTTGGGTAACCAAGGCGATGGGGGCCCATTCCCTAAGCAGAGGGCAGTTCTCAGGGAGTTTAGTTGGGGACCTGGAGCTGAGACAGCTGAGAGAGGGGTCAGGAGATGGGTCTTGGCAGGGGATGCAGACTTGGGGGCCACAGGGTAGAACAAGAAACAGGGAACAAGAGGGCGAGAGAAGGCTGAGGGGTTCCCCACCTACGGGCGGGCGTGGGGAGAAAGGGCAGTTGGATTTAGCCATGGGAAGTGTCACCCCCTCAAAACACACACCCCGCCTTGGGGTTTTTCAAGGCCCCAGGCCCCCCGGCCTCCCCTCCTGGGCCCCAGCCTGCCTTCACTCCGTGCAGCTTCAGGTAGAAGCAGTCGAGGGGCTTGAGGCCTTCCGGCGTCTTGACGTACTTGGGCTCGCCCAGCATGCCGACGTACACCGTCACCTGGAAGTGGTTCTTCTTCTGGCACACGAAGGCGTCGTCGCCCACCGAGAAGTTGAAGCCCTTGTCGGCGTCCACGCGGTAGGTGAGCATGGGCCTGGGAGCAGGTGAGGCACTGGCGCCGGGACCCAGAGCCAGTTCCTCCCACCTGCCCTGGTCCCAGAGCAATTTCCTGTCCCGAACCCGGGATCCTTACACCACCAGTGGGGCTGGCCCCACTTCTCAGAAATGGAAACTGAGTCCCCGACTCTCAGAAATGGAAGCTGAGCCCCCGAGAGGATCCGAGCACAGGTCTGCCAGCTCCTCAGCCAGTGTCCTTTCCTCTACTTCCTGCCTGGGGCCACCGCCCTGCCCTGGTGATGGGGGACGCAGGGCAAGACCCTTGAGGCCCACCAGACGGGAGGGAACTGCTGAGAGGGGCTTGGCGGCCCCTCACCACGCTTGGCTCCTTCCCGGAAGGCTGCCCGGAGCCCCCTCCCTCTCAGGAGATGGGGTGAGAGGGGCCGCGTCTGCAGAGGCTCAGGGTGCCTGACAGCTGGTTGCCCTGGAAACGGTGGAACCAGGTGCCGGCTCTACCGCAGGCCCAACCGCTGCCCACCAGCTTGCTCAAGCCCGGGGCACCTCTGGACTCACCCTCACACTCAGCCCCAGTTTGCCCCTCTGTTGCTGGGGACACTGTCCCAAGCCCAGCCCCACTGGGGACCTCTAGGTGGCAGAAAAGAGAGCAATTGTTGACTCATGGCTAGCCTACCCTTCCCCGGGTCCCCAGGCCCAGGCATAGTCACAGAAGTGCCCTTGCCTGCCGGGGGAAGCTGGGCAGGGAGAATGCTTCAGAGCCTGGGCGAAGAGGCCTTTGGGCCTGGCTAATGTCTCTGGAAGGCCTGGGCTCATCACCTCTCCCCCGCCAGGGCTCTGCCCACCTGCCGGACCTAGCAAAGCACCCAGGAAGTGCCTAGGCCACCCTGGGTGTTGCAGCTGCCAGCTTCCTCGCCTTGGGGCCTGGGGTGGCCCAGGGACTATGGAGGTCAGAGTAGACTGGTTCTTTCATGCTGGGGGGTCCTGATAGGACTTCATAGGACCCCACCTCCCACCCCCAGCCCTGGGGGACTTCCAGCCAGAAATCCCACAAAGCCTGGGGTGCCCAACTCCAGGAGGCTGGTCTCAGCCACTGTTCTTGTGAGAAGGCAAGTCCCAGCCACCTGGCCCGTGCCTGGCAATGTCCACAGTGGGATGAGGGGAGTCGCCTCTACCCCGCCCGCTGGCCTTCTGGGGCAGTGGACCCCACAGGGCTCCTGACCTGGGGCCTGGGCAGCTGAAGCCATGTGGGTGTTGAGGGAGAGCTAGGAATGCCCAGGCAGCCTCTGACCCGTCCTCCCCACTCCTCTGCCCTCCCTCCAGGGCCGGCCCTGCTTACACTCAGCTTCCGGCTACCTTCCTGGAATGCAGGAGGAGGAGGGGAAAGAGGAGCCAGGAAACACCCATCCGCCCACTTCTCCCTGACTTGGTTCCCAGCCCACCCTGGCAGGCACCACCTTCTGGGGAGCCTGGGGCTGGCTTAGGTCAGGCCCCTGAGGGCCAGGCCCAGCTCTTCCCTGAGCCTGTTTGCCCTTCTGGAGCCATCTTGTACCCAGTGCGCTCTCAGGCCCTGCTCCAGGGCCTCGACGGGGTCCTGGGCTGGGGTGGCCCAAGACGGGGTGGCCAGGGTGAGCGGAGAGTGGCACGGATAACTCACAGTTCCTTGTAGTTGGCGTCGTACAGGGTCGCCCACTTGTTCTGCTGATGCGGTTGCCACTTGATGGACTGGTAGTTGGGGTCCAGGTAGGACCCACTGAGGCTATCATTGTCCTGTAGGAGGCCTGGAGGGAGGGAACGCCCGTGTGGGCCCTGGGCCCTGGGTCCCACTCCCCAACTGGAAGGGTTGGTCAGCCATATACCTGGGGAGGGTGCACCTGGTGGGTGCCAAGGCGGTGTCTGGACCCGGGCAATGCTGAGGGGCAAAGAGCCGGGCCCCGGTGAGAGCGGGCCCTGGGGAGGCCAGGGTGGGGACGGGGCTCGAGCGGGGTGCGGGGGCAGGGCTGTCACGGTCCCGGGCTCCTGTTTGATCATTCCATTCAGCATCTGGGCATTGAGGGTGCTGGGGGGTGACTCGGAGTGCTTCCTCTTCTTGGCGGGGTGTGTGGGGAGCCTGGGGGGACAGAGGTGTGTGCCGTGGGGGCGGCCCTCCATGAGCCCCTCCCACTGGGCAGGGCCCACCCCTCTCCCCTCTCCACCCTGTTTGGGCAGGAGATGCCCAGCCCAGAGGACACCTCCTGCAGGAAACCCTTGGGCTTTGCCGCCTTGGTGCTCCCGTCATGGCTCAGTGTTGGCATTGTCTGTTCCGTCACTTAATGAATGAGTTAGTTTTGGTCCCTTCCTTCGGTGTCACTCTCAGTGTCACTCTTTACAGTGGGGCTCTATGGAGAGTGGCTCCCATGGTTAGAGACAAGCCACCAAGGGCCTGGGCAACAAAGCCGGGGAAGGAGAGCTTCCTGGGGCAGGGGGTTTAGGGGGCCTGCACAGCACCCCTCTCCTTCTGGTTTGCAAAACGTCCCGACAGAAGAATCTTCCCTTGAACTAAATCTCTCACGAAATCCCATACCCAGAACAGATAAAAAGACAATTGTGCAGGTGAAGTCAGAGTGGGGACCTTGGATTCAGGCCCAGAACCTCCTCAGAAACCCGAGGACTCCGTGAGATACCCAGAAAGTCACTGGTGTCTGAGTAAGAGCACAGCCCCGGGTCCGAGTCCTAGCTCTGCCCTTCCTAGTTCATGACCTGGGCAGGCCACTTCCCCCTCTCAAACCTCAGTTTACCTACGTATCCACCAAATAAGGTGGTTGTGAGCAATTGCTCTGGCTGTAAGTCCCCCAGGATACTCTGGACACATGTGTATAAATATGTTGCCCCTCGACCTGCCCTGCAGAGCCTTCTGCCCTCCCAGAGTTCAGCTCCATCCCGACCTCCATCCCTGGCCTGCCTGCTGTGGCCCTGATGTCCCCAAACTATATTCCCACCCTTGGGGGGCGGCTGCCCAAGTCTTACTCAGCTCCGTGTTGCTGCAGCAGCTGGTGCAGCATCTGGGACTGCTGGGTGTGGTGGAGATCGGTAGGCACCAGCCCCTGCCCCATGGCAGCGTAGGGGGGGATTGGGGGCTCGGCCTTCATGTACAGGTCCCGCTGCAGGACAGGGTAGTGAGGCGGGGGCGGCGGGGGAGGCGGGGGGCCTGGCAGGTGGGCTGCAGGTGGGGGTGGGTGCTCCAGGCGGGAGGGCACTCCCACGTGGCACAGGGTCTCAGGGGTTATCGTGCGCAGAAGGTGGGGGTCTGCAGGAAGATGGGGGTGGGTGTCAGAGACTGACCTTACTCAGGTTCCCGGGCACCGGCCTCCCCTACCAGGGTCTCCTGCTTCCAGCTCCTCCTGAGCCAAGCCCGGGGGCTGCTGGGGAGTCTGGTGGCCCAGGAGGGGTTTGGGCAGCCAGCCACTAGAGGCCTGGGCAGGGAAGCAAGACCTGGTCCAGGGGGTGGGCGGCCCTTTACCCCATCCTGGCCAGTTCCTTCCCCCAGGCCAGGCCCTGCTCCCTGGGGGGATCTGAGCCAAATCCCAAGGTCCCCCAAATCCCCCAACTCCTCCCATGCCCGATCTTCCTCTGGGCTTCAGGAAGGAGTCTCCGGAGACCCCCAGCCCTGTCCCTAACTGGCGCTCCTCCCTCGGCAGCCCCTCTCCTGGGCTCCCAGGGACCAGCCCCCCAGCCTGAGGGGGGAGGCCCCAGCTCCCTTTGTTCCCCAGGAGGCATTCCAGGGATGTTTTTGGTAAGATAAACAGAACTCTTGACCCCTTTCAGGGCTGCCTGTGGTGGTTCTGCTCCTGGCCACCTAGGGGCTGCTGCACCCCTTCCGAGGTGAGGTGGGCCCCGACCGCAAGGCCCGTGCTCAGGCTGCACCCACGGCCTTCCCCAGCCATCCACTTACCGCTGAAGGGCACATCCATGATGGCGCAGGCAGGCAGGCGGGTGGCATTGCGGGCAGGGACACTAGCTCAGAGGCAGGGCCAGGCTCCCCACCCGCCCGTGGGGAAACAATAGCCAGCGCCGGGGAGTATTTGACCAGTGATAATCTCGGCCCGTTGGGCAGACGCTGGCCCCCTCCCTCCCTCCCCGATAAGGCTGCCCCAACCACTTGCCCAAACCCCAGAGGGGGAGGGCGGTGCCCGCTGGACTCACCATTCACCTGCTGTGGGGAGTAGGCCTCGGAGCCCGAGTCCGGGGGCGAGTCCGGCAGTGTGCTGCAGGAGCCAGAGGGAGGGCCAGGGTGACCAGCAGGGCCAGGGTGACCAGCAGGGCCCTGCCTCGTGGCCGGGCAGCACCTCTTTGTGGTGGGGTCTCCTCACACCCACCGTTAGCGACGTTTCTCTGTACCACCCACCTGGGGGGGCCTGGCAGGGCCTGGGGCCGAGTTGTGGGTGGGGTCTCTGGGTCCTACCCAGGACCCCCTCAGACCTACTGGACACTGGGGGACCAGTTACTAGTGTCCCTCATGATGGCACAGGGATTCAAGGACTCCCACCCCAGACTGAGGGGCTGGGCCTGCCCCTCTCCTCTTGCACCCACTGAGGCCCTGCAGCTTCCTGGAAATGTGAGGCCCTGGGGGCTGGGCCTGGGAGGGTCAGTGGGTCACTGGGGGGGGGCTGCCCTGCCAGAGGCAGGTGTGGGCTGGGCAGAGGGCCAGCGCCACCAGGCCTGGGTTTATTTTTTTCTTGCAGGTTTTTATCAGTGGTTGAGGAAAAAGACAAACTCAACCCAAGAGGTCAACGCGTCCTGCATGAGCCCTGTGCTTGCCCAGCAAGGGGCGGCTGCAGCCACACGGGGTCCATCTCCGTGGCCATCCCTGGTCTCCACATCTGGAAAGACTCCCCCCACCCCACCCAGGGAGTTATCAGGAAGGGACACAGCCCTGGGCTGGTTCCAGAGTCCCAGTGTGCCCTGGACAAGCCACCCACCCACTTTAGGGCCTGGTGTATATGGATCTTGCAGAATATGGACCTTGCAGGTTTTGTGAGGATGACGCAAAAATGTGGACGTGGATGGAGACTCAAACCTGCACTCCTCCCGCCCCTCCCTGCACTTCCCTGACAATGGCCTTGGCTTTCTCTGTGTGTCAAGGTCTTTCCCACTCTCCATCCCTGCAGTCAAATGCCCCAAGTCCATAGGACCTTGTGTTCCTTCCTCATACGTTCCTCCGGCTTCTCGTTATTCCCCCGTTCGGTGAGGTATTGATTAGTAACTCTCCCCCCAGCTGCAGGGGGAATGTCTGTCTTGTTTATCACCTAGACCTTGGCCTGAGCCTGGGTCCTTCCCCCGTTAGCCTCAGTGCACCCCCAGAATCCCGGGCGCTGGTTCCTGGAGAAGGCTGAGCTCACCATGTGATATGGTGGCGGGCACTTAGCAGGCCCCTATTGAATGTTAGTTTTCCTCCCCGGCCCTCAGCGGGTCTGTGGCTTAGGTACAGCCTCACGGCCTCAAGGCCTGCCTTCTGCAGCAAAGTTCACCCTGGGTGCCCTGGACCTGGCGTCCACTACTGTCCCCCTGTAAGGCAGGGCACAGGAAATGCTCCCGTCCACCCAGTACTTCCTCTGTGTCCACCCCCACTTACTTCCCGTGACAATCACCGGGGTAAGCATTCGGGGGTTCACTTTGCAGATGAAGAAACTGAGGCCCTGATTGAGGTTATGGGTTCCCAAGGAGGAAGGGGCTGGGGCTGGAGCCAGGCTTTCTGCACCTAGTACTTTATTACTCGTCCAGCCAGAGATGGGGGCCCCTGCCCCTGGCTGGGCAACCCAGAGCTTTCTCGAAGCTGCTCTGCAGAGCCCTGCAGAACTGTGCTGCCTGCCTCTCCCGACAGCATCTGCCTGGGGGCTGCCCTGGGTCAGGCCACTGGTGCAGACTCCTCGGAAGGGGAAGGGCCTGGGAGGAAGAGGCCTGGTTGGGACGAGTCCTTGGCTCTGCAGGGCTTGCGTGGGTGGGGGACCTCATCAGCGAGATGCACGAGTGAGTGGGGGCCGGTGAAGGGTGTCTGGGTGCCCTGCGTGTGTGCACGCATGTGCAGGTGTTCCGTGAAGGCAAACAGTCATGGCCTGCAGTCCTGCCCCTTGCCGTCCACTCTCCACACAGCTCTCAGAGATTCTTCCAGCACTTACGTCAGCCCTCATCACTCCCCTGCTTAGAACCCTCGTGGCTGCCCACTGCCCCAGAACAAAGCCCATGAGTCCCTCCTCCCCTCTCCTTACCTACCCATAGGGAGCCTATCACCCCGGCCCTTCCCACTGCCAGGCTGGCGGCCAGCACCTCCCAGGACACGGCCATGGCCCACACCCTGCCTGTTCCTCGGCCCCTGCCCCCCGACTCCCTGCCCTCACTCACCCTGGGGCATAGGGAGCCTTGGGCTCTGCCTTGATGGGGGGCCCAGAGCCCCCCAGGAAGGGCTTGGGAGCAGCACCCATGCCGTTGTTGTTGTTGCAGTTGAGCGGGGCACCGTAGCTCGGGGGTGGGAGGGGACCATGGCGTCCCGGGGAGGGTCCACCCCCAGGGGGGCTCAGGTGGTGGACCCCACTGGAGCCAGGGATCGCTGGCTGCCCGTGGGAGTAGGAGGCCACATTGGTGGGCGCCGAGATGTCAGGGAAGCAGCTGTGGACATAGGGGGAAGCTCAGCCCCAGCTAGGCCCCCAGGCCCTCAGGAGGCAGCCTCCCCCACCCCCATGGAAACTGCAGAGGAGTCAGTGGCTGGGAAAGGATGGGGAGCAGCTTCAGAGGTGGTACCACACCAGACCCCGGGTCCTGCCCTCACACTTCCCAGGTGAGGCGTGGAGGCCAGAGGGGCTGGGGCTGGTCCCGGGGCAACTCACAGGTCGGAGGCGTCCTCCTTGCTGATGTATTCCTCCAGGATGCTGGTGTCTATGTTGGAGGGCTCCAGGGCACCGTTGATGTCGTGGCCTGCAGGGCAGGGGAGGTGAGCCAGGAAAGGGGTCTGGCTCCTGCAGACCCTAGGCCTCTGGGTGCAGCCCTCCGTCCCCACGCAGGCTGGGCCCTCCAAAACATACGCCCCCAGTCCCTCCCCATCTGGGTATCCGGGTGGGGGTGGGGGTGGGTCCTCCACCCTCTACCACCTGACGCTCCTCCAGGAGCCCACAAGGCCACCTCTAGTCTTCAAGGAGGGGAGAGGCCCAGAGCATGGACCTGGGGCCAGAGAAACCGATCCTGCCCCACCATGCCCCTTTCTAGAGCCCCTGCCCCTCATCTGTAAAGTGGGGTTACTGGTCCCTCTGTCTCATGGGGTGCTGTGAGGAGCACACAAGGTCTTCATGGAGTGCAGTGCCCAGTGGGTGCCCAGCAGCCGTGATGGCCGAGACCCAGCACAGACAGGCCAGCCCTGGCCTCCAGCGGTCAGTTCCAGATGGCCCAGCTGCAGCACGTGGGAGCACGAGGCCTAGCTGGGTGGGACCCCACATCCGGGGGACCCATGGGGTTGGGGGGGCCTCCTGCACCCCAGGCCCCAGCTGCAGGGGGGAGCGGGGATCAGGATTGAGAGGGCTCAGAGGAAGCAGAGGCTGGCTCGGGCCTCACAGCAGGGAACGATGGCTGTCAGAGCCCTGCTCCTCTGCCTGCCCGCACTCCCCTGGGCCCTCCCTGCTGGCCTCGGCCCCATGATGGGGAGGGGCTCGCAGAGAAAGGGCGGCCCAGTACTCTCGGGCACCATGAGGGGAGGAGGGGAGGCGCTGGCCTTTCCCCTCCCAGGGTCACCTTGCGAGGGGAGCCAGAGGGCGGGGTGATAAGGGGGCTGACGTGGGAGATTCGTCAACCCCGATAATGGAGGCCGGCCCCATCCACACTGCTAACCTGGGCTGGCCAGCCCCACCGAGGCAGGAGGGCCCCTCCCACAGGCCCCTGGAATCTGGGGTCTGCCCTCATGTCCCTTCCCTTTTTCAGACCTGGAACAGAGCTCATACAGGTCCAGGAACAAATTCTGGCTCAGCCACTCCCTGCTGTGTGGCCTTGGGCAGGTCACATACCCTCTCTGAACCTCAGTCTCCTCCTTAGTAAAATGGGGACGTGAACAGCTAACACTTCACAGGGCTGTTGTGAGTATAAACCGAGATAAGGTCTGAAAAGTGCCCGGCACACAGTGGGTGCTCAGCAAATGGAGTGGCTGTCCTCACTTCCCGGCCCCCAGAGCCTTGGGGTCCCTGGGAGCCCCCCGCCCAGGCCCCTCCCTGGCCCCAGCCGGCATTTCAAGAATGCTGAGCCCCGCTTAGGTGATTAATGAGCGGCTAAGCCCTCCGAGGAGTCACGCGCTGCCTGCCACAGGCCAGGGCCCTCCTGCTGCCCCCCACCCCCAGCTCACCAGCTGGGGACAAGGGACACCCACCAAGCACCGCTAGTGGCTGGCCAGGGCCCCATGTGGCCAGGGCAAGAGGAGCTTTCGGAGCTGGAGCGACCAGCCTGTGTGCCGAGGTTCCAGGACTCCCACCTCCGCTCCTGCCCCCACCCTGTCCTGGTAACCACAGTTCCCATTTATTGAGTGCCTACTGTGTGCCAGGCACTCTTTCAGCCAAGCATGTTAATAGTCATAGGAGTTTATCACATGCAAGGCATCCTGTAGGCTCTTCACGTGCAGTGTGTCACTTAATCTTACCATCCCATGATGGTGACCGTGACAATGACAGTGACAGTGAGGTGGCTCATACGGAGTGCCTGCCAGTGCTTTTCAACACGTAATGGTGACGACGATGATGACAGTGACAGTGACCAGGGCTCACACCAACTGAGTGCCTACCAGGATCGGCCCTATTCTAAGTGCTTTTCACCCCGTGAACTTGGTGTCAGAGAGGTCAAGTCTCTTGCTTGAGGCAACACAGCAAGGAGGATTCAAACCCAGGTGCAGGGGCCGACTTTAAGAGGTAAGGTGTGGCTGGTGGCTGCCTACCTTCCCCGGCCTACCTAGGCTGTCCCACCTGCTATGCTGGAAGGTTCCTGGGGGGAGGATCAAGCCCCAGAGTGGGCAGGGAGGGAGTACTGGAGCGTCACCCCCACCCTGGCTGCTGAAGCTGCAAGTTTCTGAGACTGAACTTGAAATCTACAGTGAGTGATGGGCTGATGCAGTCATGGCGTTGCTATTTATAACAGCCCAGCCCCCTCCTCTCTTTCTCCTCCTCCTCCCCCAGCCAGGAGCAGTCCTAATCGCCCCTAATCCTCCTGCCCACCTCCCCCAGGATGGGGGCCTCAGGCAGAGGCACCCTGGGAGACCCTAACGAGAACCAGATGTGGTTGGGGGGAGGAGGGACCCTCCCGTGCCAGGGCCCGGGGTGGACGGAGGATGGAGGAGGGAGGAGTGAGCTGATGGGGCAGGGTGGGGGTGGGCCAAGGGGTGGGGGAAAAGTTTGAGGGTTGGGGTTTTGGAGGGCCTCCTGAGGAACGCTGACCCCACGCTGTCTTCTCCCTGGGGGCCCTGGAGCCCTGCCTCAACTTCTCCCCATGGTGCCCAGACACCAGGCAGAGGCCCCGGCCTGCCCCTCCAACCACACTGGAGATTCCTAACAGACACTCCGGAGCCCAGGGACTGCTGAGGCTGGAGCAGAGCCTCCAGGAATCCAGGGTGGGGCAGAGTCCCCTGGGACCCCACTGTTCTGCTCCCAAAAGAGCCCTAAAACATCACTGGATCCCAGCAACGGGGACCTGCCAGGCAAGAAGCCAGGCAAGGGACACACGTCTTATTCTGATCCTCAAGACCTCCCTGAGCAGAGGCCAGGCAGGGCCTGCCAGAGACTGCCCAAGGGCCAACAACCAGAAAATGGCACTATGAGGTCACAAACCAGCATGTCTTTCCTCTCCCTCCTCAAACCCTTCAACAACATTCCACTGCTTGGGTAAACCCAGAGCCCTCTGGCAGACCAAGGCCTGGCACGGCCCCTCCCTCCTCTCCACAGTCCAGCCCCTGCCTCCTTTCCACCCCCCACCCCACATCAGGGCCTTTGCACATGCTGTTCCATGCCGTTCCCGTCCAGAGAAAGCCGATTCCCGTTCACTCTAGTTGTTCTGGCTTAAATGTAAACTGCCCCAAGAGGCCATCTCTGACTCTCCCCTTCTCTTCAGAAGGGAGAGTCTCTCCCGCCAGCACAGACCTCCCTGGGCAGGGTGCCTGTCTGTCCCCTACCTGCCCGCTGCCCATGCTTGCTCACCGAGTGACCACTCTGTGCCCAGCCCCATACCAGGCCCTTTACACAGCTCGTGTTGAATTCTCATACCAGCCCTACGCAGGTGATTTTTTTTTTCTCCGTTTCACAGATGAGGAAACTGAGGCTCAGAAAGCCTACGGGGTGGGAGCTGGGTTAGGAGCACTGCCCTATTTTGTCTCTCCAGGATATGAGCATCCCAGCAATCAGCAGGCACCCAGTAAATGTTCATGGAATGAATGAGCCAAGTGGCAAGCAGGAGACTGGAGCCAGGCCTGCGAGGTCTGGGGACCTTGGCCAGGCCACGCCGAGGTCAGGGTCCAGGGCTAGACAGGGCCCCTCCAGGTACCGCCCTGGCCCCAGCCACTCCTCATTAATTAGGCCCTTTATTACCTGCCTTCAACAGGAGCCAGACACGGCCCCTCCTAGGGCAGACTGGGATCCTGGCTAGGGGGAGGTAGCCCCCTCCCCTCCTCTCTCCTCCTCCCTTTAGGGCCACCCAGCTAGGCAGGAAAGGGGCCCAGGGCACCCAAGCCAGGTGTGGGAAGAGAGCGGGTGGGGGCCCAGGTGGTGCCTCCACCCTGGACCCCTCCCTCCCGCCCTCCTCGTGCTCATCCCCCCCCCACCAGCTGTGGCTGCTGGCTGAGTCTCGGCCATTGTCCCGGGGGACGGGGGGAGGGTGGGGACCCGGCACAGTGGGAGGCTTGTGCCCTGCCCACCCCCTCCCTGCCCCGTCAATGGGGCACTTGTCAATTCATGCCCCAAACATGGCGGAAATCCCGTCAGCCACGTGGCCGTGGGTAGGGTGGGCCAGGGCCCGAGGATGCTGGCCAGGCCTGGGTGATCCGAACCTGGGGTACGCAGGGCACCAGGGCCCAAGCCTGTCCCCTGAAGACCCCAGCTGCCCTGAGCATCCAGCCCAGGCATCTGAACCTGAGCATGCCTGACTCCAGGCAGTAGCCAGGGCCCAGTGGGGTAGTGGCCAGGGGGCTGCCCACCTTGGCATCCCCACGGTGCCCTGAGAGAGCTCCCAGGGCTTCTAATGGACCCCTACTTCCCTGCTGTGCGAGCCTCAGCAATCGACCTGACCTCCCTGAGCCTCGGCTTCTTTCGCTGTCAAGCGGAGCATGGTGGGGTGGTCGCGAGACTTGAATGTTGAATGAGGTGACACTCCCAGGAGGCCACTCTTCAGTCGACAATTGCTCTGCTTCCATCTCTCCTGGGACTGCCATCTCCTTTCCTGCCCTCACACCTCTGCCCAGGCTGTCCCGCTCTGCCCAGGGCCTCTCCGCCCCGCTGCACGACTGCTCTGGAGCCTCCCTCTGAGGCATGACCAGCACTGTATTATTATTCTTGCATCTTGCACATGCGTGGCACAGCCCAGCCCCGAGGCCCTGGCCCCTGCCATGCCCTGCAGGGGGTAAGCCTTCTGTGACTGCCTCCCTGCCTGCCTAGGCAGCCCCTCCTCAGTCACCCCAGTCACAGAGGGCCCCCAGTGCTCGCTTCCCAACGTCGACTGAGCTAACCAACGTGCTCCAAACAAGTTCACGTTGGGGCAAGGCGCAGTGGGCCCTCACCTCCTTTGGTTTGGATTTTCTCTCTTTATTAATATTATCTGTAACTGCTAGCTGTCCCTGCTTCAGGCTTCAACTTATGATCAGAAACTTCTCAGTCAAAATGCCTTCCAGTCAGATGCCTGATTGTGCAAGCAACGCTTCGCATCTTGGCATGAAATCCTCAGTTAACTCAGGCCCAAGAGCCACACCTGACAAAATGTTGCTCTGAGTCACGTGTCCATCAGGTCCTTAAATCGGAGCCACAAAATTGTCTTTGTTTCCTCCCAACTTCTTATCAAAAATGCAGAAGAGCCCCACGGCCTGCCTGCAGAGACCCCTCTCTTCCAGGGCATCCAGAATCTTTAGCCACCCCTAGGCTACAGCTACATCCTCCCCTAGACCCCACGCAACTGCCATCCTGTTCTCAGGCCAACACAAGGCTGAACTCACAGCCCCAAGATGCTCCCAAGTCAGCTCCAACAGAACTGAGGCCAGTGGCCGTGACCTGTTCTTAGGGAACCCCCATGCTGGTTCCCAGGGATCTCTGCTTTGCTCTGGGGGCCACAGCCCTGACTCCCTGGGGCTGAGTCAGCTCCCACCCAGTGCCCTGACCCTTCTCCACGGGGTCCAGGGCAGGCAGGCCGCAGATGCAGAGTTGGGGGGGCAGGTCTCCACCAGGGCTACCATGCCCAGCTTGCTTATACACCAGCGTGCCCCCCATACGGCCACACTCCAACACTCACGTGTGCACATCAGGGCACACCCGCAGACAGGTACCCACTGACACGCACATGATCACGTACCAGTGTGCCCGCTAGTCAAGCACAGCACTAACCCATGCACGCAGTAGCACACGTGCATGCACACCAGCATTCTCCACGTGTGCTCCTTCATTCATCCAGCAATCATTTATTGAGCACTTATTATATGTCAGGCAGGCACAGGGCTAGGCTTCGGGGAAACAGCAGTAAATATAGCAGACAGATCCCTGCCCACGTGGAGTTTACACTCGAGGGAGCAGAGTCAGATGACAGGACAGATCAGTAGAATACACAGAATTTCAGAAGGCTCCAGGCAGTGGGGACGTTCAGTGCATAGGCCCTGAGGCATGAGCACGCCTGTGCATGTTCACATCCCAGCATGCCGCACAGGCCTGTGTGCCAGGACGCAAGTGCACGCAAATGCTCACAGACCCCATGGTAAGCCCAGACCACACACACCTCCCAATGGGCACAGCCCCACCCAGGAAGAAAGAGCTTCCTCCTCCTCCTCTTCCCTCCAATCCGCCTCCCCACCAGCTCAGACCGGCCCCATCAGCTCCAGCTCACGCCAGATCCCACTGAGTGAACTTAGTGTCACAGGCCAAAGCCCCCCTGCCTCCAAGCTAGCAGGGCAAGGGACTGGGACTCCCCTCCCCCCCCCCGAGGGAGAACTGCAGAGAGAGAAGAGAGGGGAGTGAGGGAGGCCCCAAGGGAGGCAGGGTCCCCAAACTCCACAGAGGAGAGACAGGCTGTGGTTGAGCTAGGGGCTGGGGGGATCCAGGTCAGCTGGAGGAAGAACTTTCCTCACTGATGTGACAGGAGGCAGAGAGGGAAGACAAGATGCCCTGGAGCCCCTGTCCATGGTGCAGGCCAGTGAGGGCTCTGGACCCAACTGTCCCCACACGCAGGAGCTTTGCCCTTCTTCCCCTCCCACTCCAGGCCTTGGCACTCTTGGGGTCAAGCTGCTCATGTCACACAGCCGTGACCATCTCAGAGAGGGCTCTGAGATCTGGAGACGGCAAGAGGCTGGACGGACACCACCTAGCATGGCCATCGGGGGTGGGTCAGGACCTTCAGCATGCAGGGAGGAGAAGCCCCCTTCTCAGCTGGCACCAACTGTACCCCGGGGTCCTGTCCCAGCTCTGCCGTGGCTGCCCTGAGTGAGCCTGATGCATCACCTTCTTCTCCTGCCCCAGCGCCCCCTCTTGGAAATGAGGGGACGCCACCCGCCTTCCACAGCGTCCCAGGACTCCAGGATCATAACGTATGCAAAGAGCTCTGGCCTGGGTGGGGCCGGCAAAGACAAAGGACAGTCAAGCCCCTTCCCCTTTGCGTGCGGCAGGAACAAGTTCCATATCTCTGAGGTGAAGGGTGGGGCAGATGCGCTGGATGTCCAGGGACAGGACCAGGCATCGGGGCCACGCAGGGCCAGAGCTACCAAGGCGCAGGCCCCTGCACCAGAACGTGCTTAGCAAGGCTGATGGCTTCCCTTCCTCTCTGGAATAAGTAGCCTAGAGAGGGTGAGGGGCTTTCCCAAAGCACACAGCGCCAGCTGCAGGGCCCCAGCCCAAGCTCAGGGACATTGATGACCTATCTGTGGGTGAATAATCCTCAAGGTGGGGGTGCACGACACCTGCCATAGGCCTATAGAGCAGCGCTGTGCAAGCCCCATGGGACAATCACCTTGACCAAGGCTGACTTTAGGGAGCGTCCCCCAGCCGGGCCCTGCACAGGCCCTGCACGGGCACTGTCTCGCCAAACCCCACAGGGCCCCTGCGAGGCAGGCACTGGCATGACAACTTCATTCCCATTTTTCAGGTGAGACAAGCACAGAGAGTGCAGGGACATGGCCAGGAGCAGCACAGCTGACAGCAGACCCCAGCTGCCCACCCCAGTAAGCGCGCAAAACCGTAAGGTCATCCACGGGGCCACCCGCACCATCTCTGGAGACCTTGGGATGGGAGAGGAGGCCCCCACACCCCAGGTTGTGAGGGAAACTGAGGCCCAGAGGAGGGCGCTAGGCCATGAGGAGGAAGAAGGTAGCAGGGAAGGTAGGCCACCCAGGCAGGGCGGGGCCACCCCATTAATGATTCAGTTAATAATTTCTGCTCCCAGTTCCTTATCGGGGAGGGCAAAGTCCAAGGGCAGCAGCCAATCAGCAGCCCCACTGGACCGTTACCCAGCAGCCTCTGCTGCCAGGGCTCCCCTGTCCTGTAACCCCTTGGGAGTTGGGAAGTGGGGGACCGGGTCCCCAGGGAAGAGGCCATTCTGCCCTCACGAGCCCTCCTTGGCTCTGCCTAAGACCCCAAGGGGCACTGTGACCAGCCCCCCAGACCCAGGAGAGGCCTGAGGCCAGCCGGTTGGTAAGGGCATGCTCCTCACCCCTGCACTGACCCCAGGCCCTCCCAGAGAGGCACTTGCGGGGCACACCCCCACCCCGCCACCTCTGTTCACAGATCCATTGTTGCCTCCATTGACCCAAGAACATTTCCTGCCCCCCCGCTCCCGCCCCCGCCCTGTGGCCCTGCACTGGGTGTCCGGGACATGGGATGAGTCAGACCCCCCACTACCATCTCCCCTCCCACCTGGGCCCAGGACCTGGCAGCTCTGGCAGTCAGCTCCACGGACTGGGGCTGGGACAGGAGTCCTCCAGGGCTTCTCCTGTCATCTCCCTGGGAGCCAGGCTCGGCATCCTGGCACCTGGCTGCCTCTGCCGCCTGCCTACTCCCTGTGTGTATCCCAGACAGACAGACAGCCTGAGCTGGGGTGCAGTGCCACCCCCATCGCACACCCCAGTTCAGCCCCAGACTCCTCTCCAGGTGGAGGTCCTCTCTTCGAGTCGTCGGGCTGATCTCTGGGGCCTCCTCCTGCCCTCTGGAGGAAGAGATGCTGATCCCCGATAGGTGGGTCCCCATCCCTCCCCCAAGGCCCTGGTGGCAGAACAGAGAGCTAGGGGTTGGGTGTCTGCTCTGGCCAGCCCCCGCCAGCTCTGGCCAACTCCCTTCTCTCGGCACCTCAGCCAGCGCCATCCTGCGCACCCACCTCACAGCTGGGGGAAGGGCAGCTTTCAAACCAGGATCCTGGCGCTCTGGGGGCTGCGGGGAGCCCGGCCCCCCTTTGTCCACTGTATCTGTCCCATCAGGAGGTCATTAGAGTGTTTGATGGCTAAAAAATGACATTGGAAGCCCCTGCTCTGGTCCAACGCACCTACTTACCCTGGGAGGGGAAACGAGGCCGGAGAAGAAAGTCACCAGGCCGGGCCACCCATTGGGTTCAGAAGGTGCGAGATCCCAGGCCTCCCACCTCCGGCCCTTGTGGGGCTCCAGAGGCCAGGCAGAGGCACCTGCTGGAAGCCCACTTCCCTCCACACCCACCTGCTTTCTAGGGGGCACTGGCTGCTCACTTGAGCCTCGTGCCCCTACAGTCAGGGGCCAGCACCTACCCTCTGCCAGGCTCCAAAATGTCCCAGGGCTAGGAGATGAGCCTCTTCGGGACTGAAGGCATCATGGAAACCTTCTCTGCCACCCCCACCTGTCTTGCAGGTGATGGAAAAGGGCCCAGAGAGGGCAAGGGCTCCCTGGGGCGTCTCTGGGGGCACACACAGGCTCACTCAGCTCTCAGCGGCTCGGCAGCACCAGAACCTCAGAGGGCTGGCAGGATCCTCAGATGCTGCCCACGCCGTCCCCAACCTGGCTCTGGGGTCAGAGGCCCCAGCCAGCCAAATGATGAGGAATACACCCACACTGAGACCCGGTTACCTGCTGGGAGCCAGTGCATCCTGCCCGGTGGGTCCCCTCTCTGCAGGCCCTGTGCCTGCCGATCTGGGCTGCCTTGCCTCTGTCCAGGGGATTAGCTGGGCAGTCACGGGGGCCCGGCTGTACCAGCCTCGAGGGGGCCGCCCTGTCCCGGCCTCCCACCCGAGGCCCAAAGCGCCTTAGTCCCCAGCCCACCACCGGCACAGGGCAGGACCCAGGACCTATGCCTGGTGTGCCTAGGGAGGGGGCCCACATCAGGTGAGGGGTCTCACATCAGGTGAGGAATGCTACTGCCCCTTTGGCAAAACCCTTGCCCAGTCTCCCAGCCCAGAGCCAAAGCACGGACCCCTCTACCCACTGTCCAGAGGGGGTGACCGCAGCCAAGCAGGGACCAGGATGAGAACTTGGGTGTCCCCTGCCCCGACTGTGAGAGCGCATGTTGTGCCCACGTGCTCAGGAGTGACTTAGCCACAGGCATGAAAGCACAGCTTCTCACCCCCTTGCACCCCCACACTTACACTCACAAGCACACCAGGCCCTGTGCTCCCAGGTGCTCCCTTGCACCCACACCGGGGTCCCGCACACACCACCGCCCACCCACACCTCCCCCATTCGGGCCCTGGGAGCACTTCTCCAGCCCAGCCCTCCTGGGCGGGTGGCCCACTCCCGCCCCTGCTCCCCACAGACATTCTTGAGTCTCCTCTTATCTCTCTGGAGGGAGCAGCACAGCCTCCGCCAGGCTGCATGGCTGAGCTGTGGCGTCAGCCCCCGCCCACCCCCCGACGACCAGGAGAGAAGTTTGGCTCAGGAGGCAGGAGCCCAGCCAGCCAGGCCGCCCCCCCCACCGCTGCCGGCCCAGGGTCCTATGGGAGGCGGCCTGGGGATATCCTCAGGAGTCAGGGGGGCTGGGCCCATGGACCATCTGGGTACCTAGCAGACTCAGGGCATCCCCAAACAGTATCCCCCAAGCAAGCACTGCTGTCTCCTCTCCTCTTCCCCGGGGGTCCCCAAGCCCATAAAGCCCCTCGAGAGCTCCTAAAGGATGAACAGTGCCTGGGGAGAACGAGAGCCCCCGGGACTGATGGGGGCTGCCTAAGACCCTCACATGGCCCAGATGCGTCAGGATCCACTATTCATCTAGTCCGAGCCTGGTTTCTTGGGGTCTGAGTGCGCTGGGGTATCCAGAATCCTGGAGGGGGTGCCCTTCCCTAGGCTGCTCAGTAAGCAGCAGTGGCCAAGAGTTCCTGCCCCTCAAGTCATGGAGAGAGAAACTGAGGCAGAGAATGGCCTTCCTCTTTCCTCCATGGGACTCCAAAGGGATCGGGGCACTGGACTTGAATCTTGGTTCACACTTCTGAAAAGTTCTGAATGCACCGAGCAGGGTGTGGCTTAGGGACTGGGGAAAGAGTGGGGGCAGGGGCTGGGCCCCCCAAGTTGGTAGAGTGGGGCACAAAAGGGGCTGGGGGGTCTGGCTAGAGTTCTAGGGAGGTTCTGAGAAGCAGAGTGGGCTGGGAGACGTCAGCCTGCACCTCCCCTCCCCCTCCCCCTCCCCCTCCTACACCCTGTCCCATCCCTCCAGAATCCGGCACTCAGGGAGGAAGGACAGCCCTGGAGGAGAGGCGGGGGCTGCTCCGGAGAAGGGGGGATTGGTGAGATGCAGGAGCAGACCTCCAAGACCAATGTGGGAGTGGGGGAGGAAGAAAATATTGTGGGGTGTGCGTAGATCCCACCCTGAGGAGGGTCCTTTCAGGGTCAAGGAGAGGAGGTGAGGTCACTCCTGCAGGGACAATATCAGAGGAGGTATAGCTCCGGGGACAGGTGTGGAGGGGACATAACCCCCGAGGAGCCTCACAGGACTGGCAGGATGCAGTTCTTAGCACTGGGAGGGTCTGGAAGAGCGGAGGTGGCTGGCGGCAGGGATGCCAGCGTCAAGAAGGTTCCAGCCCCAGAGGAGCGTGCTAAGGAGGGTGGTTCCAGCCCCAAGTAGGGGAGGAGTGGCTGCTTCAAGGGGAATTTCAGCCTTGGGAGATGGGGCAGCATTGCAAAAGGCAGGTGACAGTCTGGAAGGGGGTCCCAGACTCAAGGGGTCCCTAGCCTCCTGGAAGCACAGTGGGGAGGTCCCAGCTACTAGGATTCAGGCTCAGGGGAGGGTGCCAACCTGAAAGGCACACAAGGGATCTTGGTCTCTAGAAACGAGGCCCAAACTCTGGGAAGCAGACTAGGGGTCCGGGGTGCAAGCCTCAAGAGATATGGAAGATCCCAGAAGGCGTGCTGGGGGTCCGGTTCTGGCTTGCATGTTGTTCCAGAGAAGCACAGTAGAGGGTCCCCAGACTAGGGAAGTGTTCTAGGGGTGGGGGTGTCACAATTTAGGGAAGACTCCAGGTCCTGGAGAACTCAGGAGGTCCGAGACTGAAAAGGGATACCGCCCCAAGGAAGCTGCGAGGTAGGGGACGGGGAGGGGACGCTCAACTTCAGTGGCGGTGTAGCAGCCCCCAGGACACTCCGGGTCCCAGGAGCCACGCACGGCAGGCTGGTGCCAGCCAGGAGGAGGGCCCCAGCCAGAGCAGGCGTTCTAGGGGGTCCCGGCGTGGTGGAAACACGGGGGGGGCCCAGTCCCGGGAGATCGGCTGAGGGTTCCCAGCGCAAGACGGTCGCCGCCCGCGCTGGCCCACGGTCTCTCACCTTCGAAGAAGCGCTGCAGCGCCTCCGTCTCGTCCACCACCTCCATGGCCGGCCTGCCCGGCGCGCGCTCCAGCCGTGGCCCCGCTACAGCCCGGCCTGGGGGCGCGGCATCGCCGGCGCGGCCAGCGCGACAGTCCCGGCTCGGCTCCGGCTGTGGTCCCGCCCGGTCCGCCGCCGCGCTCGCCCCCCGCGCGGCCCTGGCCCGGCCCCCGCCCTCTCGCCTGCGCGCCCCGCCCGCCGAGCCCAGCGCCCCCTGCCGGCCCTCCGCGGGCAGGACACGGCGGCTCCTCGGGGCGGCTGTGGGTGCGGGGTCGGTCCCGGGCCCGTCGAGGGGCGCAGGGAGCCCGGGCTGGGGGGCGGGGCAGGAGGGTGGGGTCAGGGTCGCGGTGGGCTGGGTGGCTGGGGTCAGAAGCCACCCCTGCGCCCCAGTTCTCGCCCTCTCCTCGGGATTCGAAATCCAGACGGCTGAGACGTCCCAGGATTCCTGTCTCAGCAACAATAACAACCCGCATTTAATGAGCAAGTGTTTTGTGCCGAGCCAGCACTAAGCACTTTACAAGCGCTGTCTCCTTTAGCACTCTGCCATGGAGATACTATTATTATCCGCATTTTACAGATGAGGAGACTGAGGCTTAATGAGGTTAAGTGCTGTGTGAGGAAGTGCTGTCCTGTGGAACTTACTCTGATGATCGAAACGTGCCCTGTGTTGTCGACTACGGTAGTCACTAGCCATAAGTGAGCACTTGCAATGCGGCTACTGAGACTGAGGAACTGCCTTGTCAATTGTATTTAATTTTAATTAGTTTAAATTTAGGCCTGTCCGGGTGGCTCATGCCTGTAATCCCAGCACTTTAGGAGGCCGAGGTGGGAGGATCACTTGAAGCCAGGAGTTCTAGATCAGCCTGGGCAACACAGTAAGAATCTCTAAAATAAATAAATGTATGCAAATAAAAATAGTCACATGTGGCTACAGTACTGGACAATGCAGATCTAAGAGTTTCAAGGTCTTTGGAGTTCAGAGCCAAATCCTGGCCACCCAGGAATCCAAACTCCCGTTCACTGCTGCCTCCGAGCGTGTCCTGGATAGACGCACTGCCCTCACGGCCCTGCCTGCTCCCTGAGTGCCTCCTCACCTCTGTCCTGCCCAGCTGCACAGCCTGGCTCCTCACTGATCTCCTCTGCAATCCTCCCAGATCACTGTTTGTAAAACATAAATCAGACCATGTCATTCCTTTGCTAAAACCAAGGGCTTCCCTTGGCACTGAAACAACACCTGGAAATCTTGCCCTGGTTTCCGAGGCCTTGTGTGATCTGCCCCTGTCCCTGCCACTGACTTTAGCTCTTCTCTTTCTCTCTGCTGCTCACTACGTAGCAGTCACCACGACCTCCGTGCCATCGCTCAAACTGCCAGGCCCACACTTGCCGCAGGGCCTTGGCACGTGCTATTTCATCTGTCTATCTGGTTGTCTCCACATGGCTAGTTTTTCTCAGCAGTCAGTCTCAGTTCACAGGTCACCTCCCTGATCACCCTACCTAAAGCAGTTCCCCCTTCCTGGGCCTTTCTTTCTTACCACATAACAGATATTTATTTAGTTTCAGTTACCAGCCTTCTTGCTCTAGAATGGAAGCCCTGTGAGGGCAAAAGACTTTTTCTGTCTTGTTCGCTGCTACAGCTTCAACACCAAGAACATTACCTGGCACGCAGTAGGTGCTCGATAAATATGTGTTGAACGAATGAACCATGGCATCTTCAAACTACAGAATCTTGGCCCTCTAATACCTTGGAGGCAGAGAATTCTGGACTCCCAGACCCAGAGAATCATCCCACGACGGAGCGGCTCCACTTGAAGCCCCTTAGGACCCTTCGACACAGTGAGTGAGAGCTGGACAAACCTGTTGCATCCCACCACTGTTTGCCAAGCGATAAAACCGAGGCCCACAGGGGTGAACAGGCTTGCTGGCAGATCAAGATGGCAACCCAGCGAGTATCCTAGAACTCTCGACTCCGCCTCAAGTGGCCCCCGGAGGAGGGTGGGGCACAAGCCAGGCTGCCCTCAAAGCTGCTCCCACCCCCAGCTTCCCTCTCAGCCCTCAGTGGCCAGCCATGGGGGAGGGGCAGCCAGTGCCCGAGCCCCAGATGTGGTCCAGTCAGCAGTGGCCCGCCGAGGAGGGTCAATGCCACAACAGTTCTGGGGCTGGTGGAGGGGGTGCTCAGGCCTGCGGGCGCCTCACAATGAGGTTTTGTCCCTCTGGGGGCCGCTCTCAGAGCCGTTGCTCTTAGATATATAGGATGGGATTTTGCCGGCGGCCCCAGCTGTGTGTGCTGACCATGTTCCCCCA